ACGAAGTTGCCCCATATGCAACATGGAATTTACAACTGGAATTTCACAGGTCGACGCCGATGGTCATATTGCTCTCTGTTTGTCAGAAAATGCGGACGATGTTACGTGGTAAAATGCATTGTAATTTGCGTTTCATTACATGACAGTGCAAACATTGGCTGTGTAATATATTTTGTGTGACGTGTGTTGTATCATAGTGCATTGCGATTAAATAAATTTTTACTGGAAGAATCATTTTACCCTGTATTGTCACCAAATGCAATAGCAATTGCATACTCATACCCGGGATGAGAATCTTCCACGGATCCGCGGAAATCCGCGGATTTCACAGTCCCAGGGTTGATTTTGTGAAACGTCTAAATCCGTTGAGCGAAAATTTTAGGGGGGTTAGAATGTACAAATTTTCATTTTACAGTCCAACAGTACCTTCATTTAATAACATTGTAATATAGTTTGCTTTACAATATAGACACGGCTTAGTTCACTGTTTGAGATTGTCAGACGTTGGCCAGTGTGTGCGTTTATTTGACGCTGCAAGTGTGTGTGTATGTATGCCGCGCGTGCTATGCAGGCCGTATATAGTACGCGATCGATCAATCGTGTACATCAAAAGCCGCCGCGTCACGCGTGGCCTTGAGGCTTGTTCTATGAAGTAGCCGGCCCAGGCTCTGCGACTGTTTCACTTCTTGCCAACGAAATTCTGTTTAAAATACATAACCATAAAAGGTGGTGTCGCGAACTGCCTTTTTCGGTGACCTTTGAAAACGATAAAAAAATTGATGTTGCGCGATCGCGCCCTAGCTCCTAGGGTGTTAAGAATATTATATCGTGTGCGCAAGGAAGGATTTTTGGGCAACTTTGGCGTAGCAAATAAAGCGTTTCCTTTCCTGATGTCTGATCACTGTGGGTCTCACAGACTTGCCTTGGCAGCAGGACAAGCCGCTAAAGTTGTTCAATATGATAAAATATCTACTGTAGTGACCAGAAACAAATTTGAAACTACCTGGACAATGAACATTTTATATTATATAAAGGTTAGCCTTTGGGACAGTGTGGAAGTGTACATTAAAATAATTTTGTTTGCAGAATGTAAGTAAATTTTTGTATTGATTATTAATTCTAGTGTTATGATAATGGCAGTGCAAGATATACTCCCTGCAGTGTACTGTAATATGCTCTGTAACAATTCTGTTCTGTATGTGTCTCCTAATGAAATTTTATGCCTTGTAAGTTGTGAAAATTCCAAAACTTCCTGAACACCTGACCAGGCTTTGCCCTGGACCTGACCGCCTCCCCCGCTACCCCCCCCCTCCCGCTGGACCCTGGCTATTTTCAGCTGAAACCACAAATTGTTATTCCCATCCCTGCATACTACATTATCCGAGAATTACTTAGTATTGTGCTAGTCAAACACAGCATGTAAAAAAACAATGAGGATATCAAGACATATTAGTGTTCCCTATCTAAAAATATTTATTCCTAGAAATAATTACACTACACAAAATAACAATCATCTCATCAATCATACATTATTTTAGTTTGATAATTTTAATTATTAAAAACGTTATACAGTTTCTATTTACACTTTATTGGATGCACATATAGTACCAAAATAATATGGGCATAAATAATATATAGTAAAGCTAGAAATTCTGTCATTTCACCTCTTTTCAAAAATCATAATTAAACAACAATGAAAGTTCTGCGGCACTTGTTCATTATAGCATGGCGGGTGCTGCCTTTACGGTCCTAGTTGCAAATCGCCGAAAGCGGTTTGCGTGCTAGGGGGTCCGGGGGCTGTGATATTTAGCATGGTGGCTATGATATTTAGAGTGGCGGGTGCATTTTAGGATGGCGGGGCTCGACGATAGCCTGGCTGGCCGCCAGGCTATAAGTGCTCTTGGAGAACCCTGATGTAGTAGTAGTAGTATTCTGACACTGCACACTGACACGCAGCAGTCTGACAGAGTTTGAGAAAAAGCTCTGTTAGTAGGCCTTCAATCATAGCCATGCGTGGAAAACTGGTGTTGGGCACTGCGTCTGGGGTTGGTGTGAGATGTAGTCGATGCTCACAGTGTTGGTAATTTTCTTGTGTTAACATAAAATGCCTAGCTAAGCTTAATATAAAATCCCATTGTTTTGTTTTTATAGGATACTGAAGAGTTCCGAGAAAACTGTCTCCACTTTAACGCCACATGGAAAGTCTGGAATATCAGGATGTGACTTTGATACTGTGCAATCATACACATCTATTTTTCTCTCTAATTCTTTCAAGTTAAAAGACTGGAACCAATTACGTCCACTTCCAAGTCATGGTGTAAGTAACATATCTCCCTGCATTGTATCCTAAATGTGAAGCAGTCGGGCTAATATTTTGTAGGCATGTTAATATTGGTTGTAGTAATTCAAGCTGAAATGTATAACTTTGTCATAAAATAAGTTTCATTTCAGTTCTCAAAGAAAATTTGGAGTCAACATTCAATAGAATTTTTTAACTTTTTTAGTTTGCTTACAATACTGGCAGGGCCGGTTTCCAGGGCTAAGGCTAGACAGTATTTTTTCAGATTTAAAGGGCACATCCCCCAAAAAGGGCACACCACCCCACAGTGAGCGAAAAATTTCGAAGGGCACTTTGAAATCTAGACCGTATTTCCCTATACGGCAAATACGGTTTGAATCCACCCCTGAATGGTGGCACCACTATTTGTTTGGCTCCGGTAGAATTGTACAATTCCAGTGTTCAGGATTTGCATAATATTACCTGTGTTTAGGAGGAACAAGCGTTAAATCTCAGCCAAGAAGTATCATGCACTCATGACAGCGATCTGTTGGACATTGGAAGAGAGCACTTCATATATAAGAATCTACCTGGTCTCTGCAGAAAATGTTCAACAAGGAAACCTATGAAACATGACGTGCTTGAGTTCATACATCTGAAAGAACGCAGTAGTGCTTCCAAAGTTATGGCAGCTGACGCAGAAGAGAATGTTGGACAAGAGAACTTTGGCCATAATACCAGGATACGTCATTTCTGTACATCTTCTACCACGTTTGTAGAGCCGACCTCTTCAGAAAGGCAGATGAGTTTTTCCAGCGAGTCTGATATGCGGCATAAACGTGCGAAGCACAAAGATTTGCATCGCGAGAACAGGGATTTGTCATTCAGTGGTGATGTCACAGCGTCTGACAGCAATCGTGGTCAAAATAACCCCACCTGTTGCCAGATGGCAACACACCACAAGGACGTCTCAATGCCTACACGCAAGCGGAGGATAGTCGATGAATCTTCCGCACATGACACGCATCCAGTCTGCAGTACTTCTCTTCCTGCCACGATTCGAGCATCTGAGAGTAACTATCGTGTAACACGATGCGATGTGGATTCACCAGGGGTGTTGGTTGAGGAAGCAGATATAGAGGTGAAACAGTGCCCACTTTGCCAGCAGAAGTTTACAGCTGACATGACAATGCTAGACATTGACAATCACGTTGCCACATGTGTTGCACAGTCACTGGACGACGAGTCTGATGTACGAAGTTGCCCCATATGCAACATG